AATGCTACCTGCCCGAGTGCTGCCGCTGGAGCTGCAAGCAGCTGGCACTCTCATGAGTTGCACATCTCAAAAAGTTTCTGAGGATTCAGTGGGTTAAGTGCTACAAAAGTTGATTTGTGTTTTTACAAAGCACAGTGTGTACTTTTTTGTTACTGAGGAGTGGCAAATAAAATCACTGTGAATTTTTCCACCTAGCACACAAATGCAGGAATGGTTCCGCTTATCATTGCTGCACATAACTTGTTTTTGTGTGTGTGTGTTTAAGCAATTGCTCATATCTGCACAGATAGGAGACAAAGCCTATAGTTTGTCAATAAATTGTTATATCCAATGACCCAGCATGTGTAACTGACCCTGCGCGCTGGCAGGCCGTCCAGCAGCAGCTCAGCAGTCGGCATTTGCCGTGTCCCCAGCTTGTCCTTCAGTCGCTGAACCTCAATACCCCTCAATCGGCCATCCTCATCTCGACTCACCTCCGCATAGAAGAGAGACAAACCTTTGCTACCCTGTGGGACAGAGAACAGCAGTCAATTATATCACTCTGCAAGTCATTGACAATGCTTTGTGACCGATGTCAGCAGTACTGGTATGGTTGCTCCGGTTTTGTCCTGCACTCTGGCCAGTGTAAGAGTCATGTCTGCGTCCGTAGCAGACGTGAACCACTTGAAGCCGTGGAGCTTGTAGGAACCATCTGTTTGTGGAACAGCCACCGTCTCAGTGCCGCTGGCTGAGGACAATGAAAACAACTCATGAAGCATTACAACAGTTACTCTTGTTCTGCATGACAAAGCGGGAAAAAAGTATGCAAACAAAGAATCTCCTCCACAGATATCTGATCCCTTGAAAAGCAGAATTACAACACTGTTGTACTGCAGCTCTTAATTTATAGATTGAATCTGGGACTGATAAATGCAGAAAACAGTGTCACTACTTACCCACATCAGAGCCTCCCTGTCTCTCTGTCATCCACTGTCCGGATGTCCAGAAGCGTTCTGGATGGCGGGTGGTCAAACGACTATAGGCGTCTTCTACTGGCCACGAAACACCTAAGGACTTCTCATACACAAATCCAAACAATCATTCACTGTGCTTACAAGGAAAAACAGAACTGGGGTAAGCAAGTCAAAAATATGTGTACATTCACTACTATACAGCCATAACAGCAAAATATAGAGTTTTATTCAGTTGCTCATCAATCTAATATACAGTTCCCTCAAGTACATGCTGCTGTTTTAAACAAAAGCTGGCACATTTTACATTTTTTTTATTAATATTATCAACATACACTGTGCAAACTGATTGGAAGGCAAATTCTCCTTAACACAAACAAGAAAATAAACAGCAAAAACATAATCTCTCTATAAAAGAGATAAATAACACAATAAAAGATAATACAAATATACAATATAAAAGGAAATAGGGTGCAAAATGCATATAGTGCAAACTGTTCCAGATATGGCTATGATTATGTGGTTCCTCAGCCAGTTAAAACAATTTTACTGGGGTGACTTGATGGACTGATTAAATTCTTGTATAACTTTTGAGATGAAACTGTCTCTGAGCCTTTAGTCTCAGCATGAAATTGTCTGTAGCGTTTGACGGATGGGAGGACGATGAATTTATATTCTTAAAATGCCAATGTTTTAAACTACATTGGCTACAATATTCTTCACTTAATTCAGTTTTAAATGATTGGAGGTAAATCCCATTACTAGTTCTGTTGTTCTAATCAGTTTGGCTTACAGGACACTGTATTAGTCATGTTATTCACTTCTTTAAACACACCTGGATAACTTTTGCAGCTCCGTCGGTCATAGCAAGAGGACAGGTGTAGAGGCCAGATGAGGGAGAGAAAAGATACAGCTTGCTCATCTGGTACACACGACTAGGAAACACATACATACACTTTTTGGAAGATGACAAAAACACGTTACTGAAGTGAAATAAGACACATGAGCTAAACCGAAAAAAGGAAGTGCAACGGTCTTCTAACCTCCACTCGCCAAATGACCTCTCATAGCCAATGGCAACGAGTCCTTCCTGCGCTGACAGGTCTTTCATGCGTTTCCAAGCATGGGAGGTCACAATGTGATCCACTCGGCGACCCCAGGGATCAAAGTGCACCAACCGTGGAGGATTGACCTCACACTCTCTACCCCAGCCATCCACCTCCTTTGCCACGTGTTCTCCAAATGCACACAAGTCTGAGAGAATCACCTGTAGACAAATTTATACACATACTATTCACACACATACACATACATATATATATAAATTTTGTACTAATGTATGGTGACCTTGAGGGTCTTTAAAGGTGCTTATTATTACACACAATATATCGCAGACCTTATGAAACAGATCTCAGCCTGTTTACCTGATAGGACAGCTCCTCCCTGGCTTTTTAATAGTAACAAAGACCAAAGTCAAACTCTTATTGCTTTTTATAAAATGAATTCGTGCTGGTGCAACAAAACTTAAGGAAAAATATGGACTACATATGTAACACTGTGCATATACCCAACACTTCTTTCAAAAAGAAAACAAGTTATGAGCACATTAAAAAACAACAACAACAAAAAACACATTATAATATAGTAATATACACCTAATATGGACATTGTTATTTAATGGGCCTGTTGCTCTTGCTCTAAAACTGGTAGTATGACACCCTTTCTTGGGAAAAACATGTAACCCCTGCTCACCTGCTGGGGTATGTGTCTCTTCAGATATCCTCTGAGCAAGGCATCTTCTACAAATGGGTTCTTCAGCACTGGGTTTTCCTGAAAGAAAGGCCCTATCCTGGCTCGGGTGAATGGCAGGTAGCCTGCTGCCTCCCACAGCTGTTCTTCATTGGATCTTCTTCTGCCTGGCTCAGCTACAGAAGCTGATCTGACGTGGATCAGTGGTCGAGGTGAAGGAATGACACACCACAACCTGCAGGAGCCTCCGGCTACACGTCGGCTCAGGAGGGCTGAGGACACTGACATGGCCCAATACCTTCAGTCTGAGGTCTGACTAGGGACACAATGCTAATGCCACTAGAGCAGGGACAGGTGACATTTAGATAAAGGCAGGAATGTTTCAGGTTTTTTTTTAAATGGGGTGGCACGGGGCTGGTGAGTGGCGTCCAAGAACTAGTTGGATCAGGTAAAAAAAAAAGAAAAAGAAAAGTGAGTTATAATAATTTTAATTTGCACAGACCTCCTTCTCCATAGACATCTATCTGGAAATACAGTAATAACAAAATACAAGCCACACTGAAGCACAAGAAGTAAGATAACAAGCTAATAAAAATGAATCTGGATAAAACTGTTAATGGGTGTCATTTTTAGATATAAATAAGGGGGTCTCACACATCCTTTGTTTAGAGTTTGCAAAGTAAGCGACAGTAGTGGACCAAACCAATGTTAAGTACAAGAGGGGAAGTCCATCTTTCAAATTAAATCATTATTTTCCATTAATATGTAAACCAGTAGCATTCACGGGATGTAATAATATTTAAGCTCAAATAGTTACTTTGAAGCAATAAACTAATGGCAAGGACAAGTTGTATTGAAGTATTAAAGAGGACAACGGCACCCTCTGGGCAATGCCACCCCAGTGCCCTTTAGCACCACCCCTGGTCCACCCAGAGGCAGAACAGCATTCAGCTGAAAGCAATTTCTGTATATTTGGTTTTTACTTATTACTCAGAAAACAGGCGCATTTTTACTGATTTACTGATTCCAGATAGGATTAGCTTCTTTGTTTCTCCATTGCTGATACTTATTTCTTTATGTAAATTTATCTAGCTGGCTTACAGACCATGGAGAAGACTGACAACCAAAGAAATGGGTCAAAGTTCATCTGGTTGCGTCGTTGCCTTTGTGCAGATATTATCTTACCGCTTGTATTCCAGGGTTTCCTTTATATTATTTAAATATATTTAAATATTAAACAGAGGCATATACTTGCTATCCTCTTCTTGAAACCCTTTATCATAACGCGTACTCTTCGCACTCCAACCCGACAACAACACAGCAGTTAGCAAGGACGTTCAACAAAGTTGTGAGCGCTTTATTCACGGGCAAGCTTACACAGACAACGCTGAATTAGTTTCAAATGAAACTTAAAAGCTTCCTAAATATCAAAGATATAGCTGCTAGCAGTCATCTTACCAAACGTTTTCCCAGCTGCGTTCACGTTCACGGCGGCAACTTAAGTTTCGCCTTCAAAATAAAAGTCTCTCTTCGTTTAAAGGTTCAAGTAGCACCTCCTGCTGCTACAGCAGCGACAAAAACAGCACGCAAACACACAGGTGACAAACACTTCTATCAAGGATCTATAGTGTATACAAAGGATAAAATATCGGGTATGATACGTTTATATAAATATAAAACATCCCTTTTAGTTGTTTTTTTGTAACTGCGTTGACGAGATGACTCAAAATAAACAAAGTGTTTACGTTCATTGTTAATTTTTTTTTTAAAGCCAATGAACCTGTTATAGTTCATGAACGCTAGCTTCTGCACCTCCTAGCAGGTGGCAGGAAAGGAAAGATTTTAGTAGGAAGTGTTCTTATGAATCATCTGAGCTTTCAGTAAAAGCCGACGGTAGAAACTGGTGGATACTGGACTCTGTTGTGTGTACTATTAGCCAAGCAGCTTCCACAACATACTAAGAGATTGTGCATCCAGTCAGGTTACCTTCCACTGTGAAGCTGGACAGACTTGTAAGAATCCCTGTAAGAATTTTCTGCCGTTTAAACCTTGTGTTTCATGTCTCATTTATATAAAATAGATCCAAGAGTAGAAAAATCGGATTGAAAATGGATTGTTTGTAAAGACAACGATAATCCACAGAACACAGGGCTCTAAGCACCACCAACAAAACTAAATTCAAGAATATTTACTGTCATGGCGACAGAAATCCCTTCCTGTAACACTATAATTTACTTAAGCCCAAATGTAAAATTTCCCAGAACAAATACTTTATTAAACACCACATACTGACCAACATAATGTGTTGCTGAACCAGTTTTATTGTTCCAAGTAAAGGTTTGTCAAAAATACAGTATCCTTTGTTCCAACGAGAACATAAAGACTGAAAGCATGCACCGTTTAATAAAACATTTCCATGATGGGTTAAAAATCTGTTCAAAAAGAAGGACAGAGGCACTGAATAATTATTAAACAATTCAGCAGTTAACCATTTTTTTTTCTTCCCAAAATGAACACAGAACAGTCAAAGGTTAAATGAAGAAGGAATTTAAAGGAATAATAAATGTACTGATATAACCCAGTATGTAGCTCCTGTTTATGGATGGGGAATATCTCCCAAACATAAAAGATGAACCCGGTTTTCTGTCCAGGTTGGAGAACACTGATGTGTTTTTAGTGTGCAAAAATAAAAATAACTGTGTAACTACAGGCTGCAATACAGAACAGAGACGAGTTAAGCCCAAGTCTTTAGTGTGAAAATGTCACCTGACAATGGACCAAAATGAAGAAATGTAGTTTGTCACAACAACAGTTGACTATATAAAAGAGCATACGCTGCAATAAACATACAAATTATTTAACAGCTTAACCAGGATAGCATGTTTTAAACATAGATTAACAGATGTAAGAGGGTAATAAAAAGGGACAAAATAAAACCACAGGCCCAGAGGCAATCGACAGTGAGAACCTAAAAATACAAACCGGTTACAAACTGATTCAACACATGGAGGGATTAATGAAAACAAACCCCAAATATTCACACATGAGAGTGGGTCCATGGAGACTTGAAATGATGACCAGTTTGTTAATGTTCACATCTTTCATTTGATTTTGGTTTTCTTTAATCACCCTTTGTAAGGAGGTCTTCTATGTAAGCATCTAGTTCATCATCTGTGTTTATGTCAATATCCTGTGGGAGGAAAAAAGGCACGATAATTACTCACTTTCTGCAAAGGGGGGGGGGGG